GGGAGGGTGGAGGGAAGGTGGGGTAAAAAAGAGGAACCAATTACCAGGATCTACATATAACCCCCTCCCTGGGAGATGGACAAAAGAAAAGTGGGTGAAGGGAGAGGTCGGACAGTGTAAGACATGACAAAATAATAATTTCTAAATTATCAAGGGTTCATGGGTGGGGGAAGGGAGGGGAACAATGAGAAGCTGATACCAAGGGATCAAGTAGGAAGAAAGTATTTTGAGAATGATGATGGCAACAAATGTACAAATGTGCTTGCCACAAGGGATATATGTATAGATTTTGATAAGAGTTGTATGAGCCTCAAATAAAATGATTACATGTGGGGGGAGGTAGATGCTAACAGGCATCCTCCCTGAGATCAGTTGCCAGACTGCAGTGGGCCTGCTCCCTGCTCCTGGGGACAATGGACAGGCTCCTGTAGGCAGAGTTTACACCCTACTGATAATGGTTCCTATGGAGACCCAGAGAACAGGTCAAAGTTAAGCTGCCATCCTGAATCTAGGATTCGCCCATCTTGTCACATGTAGGCCCCTAATCCCTCCTCTTCTTATTGCCTGTATGTCCCTAGACCACCCCCCTCTCATTACTGTGTAATCTATAGTGCAACCCTTCCTGTGACGTATAACTTTACCTGTAATTAGTGGGCTTGCACTCCCCCAAAAGGTATATAGGTGTGGGTCAGCAATAGATCGCTCTCTTTCTCTCTGTCCTCTCGCTGGGCTCTCACTGGTCACTCCCCTCTCTTCCCCCTCTCCTCTCCCGTCCTCTCTCCCTTGTTCCCTTTCCCGTCCTCCTTCCCTTCCCCCTCTCTCCATGTGGACCAACAAGTTGGGCTGAGGTGAGCAATGCTACCATGTAATGTGTCTGACCCCATTATTGTAATATCTCACATGCTCTCGATGACTTTAATATAATACTTACATATCTCAACTGTACAATTGTACATTATTGAACCTGTGACTAGCGGTGGGGGCTGGCCCCTCATCCCCTCAGCATTATACTACAATTACAAAAAGAAGAAGAGGAAAAAACAAACAATGGTTTAGGTGATAGTCAAAAGTTCTGCCTTGATCATTATGTTCTTTTAAGAATGATCTAAATAGGGAAAAACTAAGAACAGTAACTCAAAAAGCTAGATTGGAAGCTTGGGAGACAGTGAGTTTAAGTTAACAGACTCACTTAAGGAGAGGAATATTTTTGAAAAGGAAGGTGAGAATATATTCTCAACAGCAACAAGTAAAATAAAATAACTTGTTGTTTTTGAAAGATAGATGCCCTTAAAAGCAGGAGCCAGAATGGCATCAAGAATCTCAGTGGTAGCACTGATAAGTTAAAACACAATGTAAAAATTCCTCCAAATTTCTAAAAACAAATTACTTTCAAAATAATTTTGTATTATTCATGTCATATACCTTTCAACTATGACTGTAGAGTAAATGGCTTTTGGTCATGAAAAAAAAAATCCCCAAAACTTCTACAAATCTTTTCTTAAGAAGCTTTTGTAAAGTGTGTTCTAAAAAGATAAGGGAGTCAACTGAGGAACAGAGAGATAATATTTCCAATAAATTAAAAATTTCAATACACAAAAATATAAGTAGAAAAGCTCCAAATGGCCTTGAAGGGAATTCCCAGAAGACCATAGAAAGAAACGTCATTGATAGATTATCTGTTATTTTGACCATTAATAGAATGTGGACAGGATCAGGTATCAGGCACCACAAGACCCAAAACAAACAATCACATGGATGTGAACGGGGGGAGGGGGGTGTCAGAGTGGAGACCGCAAATCCGTCTGTAAACTATTGGACATCCCTTCACAGAAGGGTCACAAGGAAGAAACAAGTCAGCCAGGGTGCCTCTAGTTCTTTAATGATTCCCGCCCCCACTATCAAGACCCAAGTTCTCCCTTACAAATCCAGCTAGACCAGAGCATGTACACTGGAACAGATAGGAGCTCTCAACACACGGAATCCAGGACAGATAAACCCCTCAGGAACAATAATGGGAGTAGTGATACTATGAGGGTAGGGAGAAGGTGGGGTAGAAGGGGAAGAAAGAGGGAACCGAGCACAGTGATCAAAGTATAAACTGTCCCCTTCCCCGCAAGGGGCATGAACCACAGAAATATGGATGAAGGGAGACAGCAGATGGTGTAAGATACGAAAACAATAATGTATCATTTATCAAGGTTCACGAGGGTGGGAGTGGTGGGGAGGGGAAAAGAGGAGCTGATACCAAGGGCTCAAGTCAAAAGAAAATGTTTTGGAAATGATGATGACAAGATATGTACAAATGTGTTTGATATGATTGATGTATGGATTGTTATAAGATATGTAAGAGCCCCAATAAAATGATTTATAAAAAAAAGTATAGCCATAATTAGAGGCTATAAGAAAAAAAAGATGTCTCTAAAAGGAACTAGCGACATACAGAAACCATAGTTACATATATTTTGAGCTCTCATTTGGTTATAGCCCTAATATAAGAACAATTAGTTCTTATGATCTGATCCTGCTTGGTACTCACCCTCCTGACGATATCATTAAAAATTGGAAACCATAGCAAAGTGTGATGGAGAATCAGATGGTGACTGGCTATCAAGAAAAATAACATCTGGGCTCTTAAAGGCTTGTCTCAAAGGAAGCAACCATCTAATTGAGGAGTCAGCTATGTCCACACAGAAGAAGCACACTAAACTTTGTAACCCAAGGATTGTAAACAATAAGCTCCAAATTCAGAGCAGGGAATGGTAGTAGGGCCTAAATTCTAAACACCTGGTTTGCAGAACTCTATGGTTGTCACCCGATTAATAACAGGAGCAAAATTTCTGTTATGAAGTAGCAACAAAAATAATTTTATGGTTGGGGGGTCAGCACAACACGAGGAACTGTATTAAAGGGACGCAGCACTAGGAAGGTTGAGAACCACTGCTCTAGAGTAAGGTACACTTAAATTTTTGAAAACATCATCTTGTTTTCCAAATCAATGTGATGAACTCAGT